AGGTTGGTAAAAAAAAAAACGTGATTATATTGAGGTTGTGACTATAGAGGAGGTGACTATAGAGGGGGATGACTGTATATACTTGGATTAATCATGCCTTATTTTGGTTTTTCAATTCCCTTTGTTATCGACTATTCTAATGATGTACCGATGCTTTACTGGCCAAGGTATTTATGCTAAATAAACTTATTTCTATTACACTAAAATTAATGCTAACCTATTGTCACCTTTATATTTGATCTTTGTTAAACCATATTTTGAAACACATTTTGAAGTATACTCGTTCTGTGTGTTCCACCATTAATCAAGTTTTGTATGGTAACCAGTGCTATTTATAAAGGAATTAGTGATCCTATTATTGATGAAATTTTTAAAAAATTGGTTGAGAAATATCGATATTCATTAGTCATATTCATTATTTTGTTAATGACTGATAAAGTATATTTAATAATTTTGAATGATATACTCAAAAGTTTTTATCGATATGAGCAAGTTAATAAATTTAATATACTTGAATATAAACTTGAAGTTGTGATTATATGTGGTGTATTCTTCGATATTTCACAAATTATTATTCAAGTAAGTAAATAATATGAAATTACTTCAAGAATCAAAGCGTTGATGACACTCATATATTTATTTATTAATTTAATTTTTTGTTCAAATATCATGCTTCGTATTATTATTTAAATAGGTCAGTTATTACAATTCCAAATTAATTTTGGTCTATCATTTGGTTCCACTCCTTTTGCTTATCACGTCTTGCCTTAAGACTTTAATGACCATTTGTTATTTTGTGTGCAAAAGAATAACCTCGTATCTTATCCTGTGAGCATAACAATAATATTTATCTAATCTGATTTTTTTAAACAAATAAATGTTATTCTGATCAAATAAATTCATTAGACGGTTAGTACAAAATTCTAATAATATAATTTATAAAATTAGTATTCACTATCACATATTACCTCCTAAAGATGGTTTATTATTCATATTAAAGGGAGTAAGTATTACTGTATTAATGACTCATTAATTATTTAATGTCACGACTGAAGCTGGAAACGGCTGAAGTTAGAAAATTTAATTATTTTAATATGAAAATTTCAAAAATTTTTTTGGGTACATTTTTCTTGGCTTTTTTTTTAGATTAGGGTTTAGGATTAATTTTGAGATAAAAGTATAAGTGGATTTTGGTAGGACTTCTATTTTTAAATCGAGGTCCCTAGTTTCCAGCTTCAGCCGCGACATTTAATACTAATAAGAAAAACAATTAAATATATACTTTCAATTTATAAATATTATTAGTTCGTAAGTATAAATTTTCATTATAACAGCACCGATCAATTAAATGAAGGATAATATGCAATTAATATATTTTATCACTTTGATAAAACCAAATATACTCAAAAGAATTAATATAATTTTAATAATTTATATTTCATATTAAAGATGTAATTTTTATGGAACATGTACAAGATGCAAGAAACCTAATGTTTCTCCAACTTGGTGCAAAGATTGTGACACTAAAGAAGCAAAAAAAGGATGGACAAGTGGAAATACAAATATTGATGAATGTATTAAAAAAATTCAAAGTAAAGCTATGGAATATGAAAAGGTGATTGAATATATTCCATTTAATGAACTGGATAGTTTGCAAAAGATTAGAGAAGATAAATCAGAAACAATATTTATGGCGACATGGCTAGGTGGTGCAAGAATAATTGAAGGTGAACATGCAGAATATACAAGATCACGGATTAAGTCATGTGGTGTTAACCTTAAAATATTACGTGAATTTCAAACAAGCGATTTGTTTATAAAAGAAGTAAGTTACCTTATTATTGCATTATTTACAACTTATAGAAATGCCTTTAATACATTAAAATCTTTTAAGTTTACATATTATATGGAGAGAAGAGAAAATATTGTATATGGAATTATTCAAAATACAGAAACAAATCAATATATAATTGTAATACCAGATGAATTTAATTCTAGAAGAAATGATTCAAATGGAATATGTGTACGCTGTAGACATTATAATACTTCCCCTGCTTGGTGCCAATCCTGTGATCCTTTGAGAACAACTCAAAAACGGACAAGTGGAAATAAAGAGATTGATAATTTCATTAAAGAATTCCAATTCAAAGCTATAGAATATGAAAAGGTGATTGAATGGATTCCATTCGATAAACCAATTATTTTACAAGAAATTAAAGAAGAACCAGACCTTGCATTCAGAGCAACCTGGATCGAAGGTGTACGAACAATTGAAAGTGTATCTGGAAAATATACACAGTCACGCGCTATATCATCTGTTGATCTTATGAAATTGAATTGCTCTCAAACGAATACCATGGAACTTTTAGAAAATGTAAGTTAAATTGCTTATATTATTAGCTTTATTGTCTGAAATTAGAGTTTTAAATCGGTCTTATTTTCTTATGTTAAAAAAAAAAAACCTCCCGATTAAAACTATTTTTAATTAAAATCGGTTCCAAACTCTATTTGAAGTATTGCTTAATTAATTAATGTATATATACATATTATATATAAGTTTAAAAATCATATGCAATCAGAGAAATATATAATACATGGAATAACTCAAAACACGGAAACTGATCAATACATGCTTGTTATTGATTTTTATAATGATAAAAGAAAGACCGTTAATGGAATATGTGAGCACTGCAAGCGATGTAACACCTCTCCAGCCTGGTGCCAATTGTGTGATCCTCCAAAAGCGGTACAAGAAACAAGTGGCGATAAGAACGTAGATGATTGCATTAAGGAATTTCAACTTAAAGCTACGACATTTGAGAATGTTATTGAATGGATTCCATATAATGGGCTATATAATATAAAAGAGATTGGAAGAGGAGGGTTTGGTATAGTATATTCATCAATTTGGTTAGATGGTAAACGAATGGTCGAAGGTGATGATAATTTGGGTTATGTACGATATCGTAAAAAATCCTGCGAAGTTGCTCTTAAGACATTGCCTGGATCTCAAACAAGCTCCTCCGAATTTTTAAATGAGGTAAGCCAAATCTTTTTGCTTACTGTATTTCGGTGAATAAAGCACAGGGTATACGTTATGAAAGACACGTTTATGCTATATATATCTTAGAAACTACTAGTCTGAATATAATGATTTTACTACTATTAGAACCAGAAAGGCCTGATGAACAACTTTAATTAAGATCAAAAGAAGGGTTTACTTAATAAAAATATCTATTTTGAAGCACCTTTTGATTTCTGGGGAGTGGCATTAGCAAAAATGGGGGTGGAAATAGCAATTCCCTAAATTAATAATTAATTTAATATTTAAACATTATCGAGCTTTTCTGAAAATAACCAATTTTCTAAAGTTTTTTCTTGAATACTATGAGTCGCTTGAACAGAAGATTTAATTACAGCTTCATTATATACAATTTGATCATTAGTATTAAAGTTATCAATATTTTCAATCGTTTGCATTATGTTTTCTTCGGATTGTTCTTCCAAATTATCATCATTATTTTCCATATCATCAAATTCAACATTCGGTACAGTATTTTCAAGACTTGCTTTGTTAGAATTAGCTGTATTAACTTGAATAATTTGATCAAGTCTATTTTCTTTATTATAAACAATATGATGTAAATTATTTCTTTCTTGTGCAATATGCCATCAAATGCATGATATTTTTGTTGCATGATAATTTGTAAGCCTATTATGCTGTGGCGAATGGATATTTGAAATAAATGACCAGAACCTTTCACTTTTAGCAGAGGTAGGTAGTATTGATATAATTTTTACAGCAAAAATAGCTAATTCCGGTACTTTATTTTAAAAATTACTTTAGAAATATATAGGATTTTCAACTAAATAGTCATCCCAGTTACCATCATAATCAAATGAATATGCTTGATTATTCCAATCAATCAACTGTATTCTAAATTTCTTTATATCTTCATTAGGAAATAGGTATTCAAACAGAAGACTAGCTTCTTTTTTAACAATTGTTGTAAGTTCAGGTCTAATAGCTCTTATATAGAAATACTTTTGATATAAAGACCAACAAATAATAAAAAGTGAGCTATATATTTGATTCCATCAATGTTGGATTTGTACAATTACATATTGCTGAAAATTTTTATTATCAATCATGTTAATAATTTCTTGTAATCAAGCCCACAAATATATTATATTTGCAAGTGTTGCATGTTGTAATTCTAATATAATTGGAATTAATAAATATGGTTCTAATATTTGAACAACTACTCTTAATTGATTCCAAAATATATTATTTTTAAGTATTGATATGATTGTCTCATTGGATTGTAAGTTTAAATTATAAACTATATCCTTAAAAAAAATTAAATATAAAATTAATATAAATATATATATATAGTTATATTTATATAAATATTAAGCCTAATATAACTAACCTTTAAATATTGTTTTTTACTTTGAACTTGTTGTAAAGATGTATAAAAAGAATTCCATCGTGTAAAGGTTGGAAATGAAAATTGAAATGTATTATTAGAAGTACACATTCAAATATACTGAATTGCTTGAATACTTTTTTGCATATATAAAATTATTTTTATAGCTGAACTAATTGTAGTTTTCATATAAGGATGCTTTAACATATCACCAACTAAGAGATTTGACTTATATGCAATACATGGTATAGTTAAAATTTTTGGATATTGCTATATTGCAGAATTTAAAATAATTATAATTAGTATAAATAAAATACACATTATTATATAATTCTATTAATATAATACATACTTGTATAAGTATAGTTTTCATATGTATATAATTTGCAGCACTATCAGTAACAATTGTATTAATTTTTTTGAGGCCAATTTGCAATAAAACATTTTTCAAATCTTCAAAGATTACTTGAGATGTTTGACTTTTTTCACAAATGTCTATAATTTTAATAAGCTCTGACTATTAATCTTTACTAATAGCCATGAAATTTACAAGATGGTCTTGGTAAACATTGGTCTATCTATCAGTTGCAATAGTAATCCAAGTAGATCTATATATAAATTGATTGATTGATGTTTGAGCATTTATATAAACCTCATCAAGAATATTATTAGAGAGTTTTTTTCTTAATAGAGCATGATACAAGTTATTGATAGAATAGACAAATTCCTTAAACTTTCATGTATCTACAAGAGAAAGAGGTGCACTTCCTTCAATTATACCTTCTAATAATAATTGATTTGATCTGTTTGTATCTAATGGCAATTGCATAGATACTTGATTATTACTGCCACAATTTGAAACTGATGTAGAGGGTGTAATTAATATTTCAGATAGAACATCTTGCTGATTACCCATATCATAAAAATAGGTTCATTGTTAATAATTTTGAGTATTAATAAGATAATTTCAAACTTCTAATGGAATGCTTGTACATTTTTTAATATGAGAACTCATTACTGTGGCAGAGCCAGATATAGGCCGGTCAGGGTTACAAAATATGCATTTGGCTTTAAGCCTTTTATTAGTTTTGACCAGATAAAAAGCTTGCCAAAGAGGGCCTAATAGATGGCCAGTAGAACCAACTGGAAGTTCACGAAGCAAATGTCGAATTTGTAAATTTGGTAAAGGCCAACTTGACATTGTACAAATATGTTATATTAATGTTTAAATGATTGATTCTTTTATTTAACATATTAACAATTTTGTATATACTTTATAGTTTATTTGTAATAGATATAAGTGACGTAGTTAATTTGTAATTGATGACTCTTAAATTACTTAATAATATGTAATAATTTAGTAAATATGTAAGGGTTAAATTTTAGCTATCGCTTACATAATCATTACATTACCCATCCCTAGTTTGAACACTGTTTCGAACCACGTACATAAACTGGGTTTCAAACTCTGCTTTAAACTATTTATATAAATGTACTATTAATTATGTGCCCCTGTTAGCTTAAAACCAGTTTAGGTATATGTTGAGATAGATAACGTTGACATTGATGTGGAGGTAAAATCATTCATATTATTAAAATTTTCAAGTGCTTTTCTTCAACCATCATATAAAATAAAAAACAAAAAACAACATATTTATAGCAATTGAAAATACTTCTATGAAGAAATAAAAAATTGCGTAATTAAAATCACATGATCACAAAACTTGAGTCTAACAGGTTTGTGTTTCAAACAGGCTCGAACTGAGTTTGAACAAGCACGATAACATCCCTAATCAAGACCTCTGTCTTTAATATTACGTCAGTACCAGCTCTCATGATAATAAAACTTAAAATTCTTTAGTTTTAAATTTTGAATGTTTATCATTATCGCAAACATTTTTAATTTGAATTTTAGTATCATTCATTGAATTTTAATTTTTCTCAAGTACGCTCATAACTTGGCTCATTTGTTTTTTTGTATTATGATCAATTACGGTCGTAATTTTGCATAAAGATAACAGCAATGGACATTATTTATAATCCTAAGAATACTATTGTGACTTTTTCGTTTCAAAGCCAATTGGAGAACAATGAAAAGTGGAAATTCTTATTAGACATTTGGTGTCGTCAAGCAGATGCATGCATATTAACACAACTAAAAACGTGCGTACAGTATAGTGTTATGGGGTGAATTGTAGGTTTAATAATCTATACTCTAAAATATAGACTTTTATGACATAAGGCAACTCGCCAGAGGCATGATGTTGATGATTTGGTTAATTATAATATAAGGAATTATTATCGGGTTAGTGATATTATGTGCCCCTTCCTCGCACATAAGAGTCATAATCAACCTTAACTAAGTTACGTCCTTTTTATAACTTAAAGGACTAATGAGGCTTAAACAGATTTTACCTTATTATATAGTGGCTTAATTTCAATCGGCCAAGATCTATTGCAGATTGTCTAAGCCTTTGACTCTAGCCCGTGAAGTAGAAATTTAAAAAGATCAATCTCTCTATATTGAGATAATATAATACATCGAAAATAAATTTCTTGAATTATCGATTCAATAATGTGAATGATCTAGAATTCTCAATCTCTTTATATAGAAACTATGCCAAGAACAATATTACTTAACAAAGTCGCTATTGAAAATAAAGTTTTTAGATTTCCTGCACCATACGTAAGCATTAATCGATATACAAATGTGTGAGCATGTTAAAGATGAAACAAACTGTGCAAAAATCAATATATCATTTTATAATTGTTTCAATCTTATATATACGCAATAACAAAATTTAGGACAGAAAATAGGAAAAATTTGTCAAGTACTTAGACATAGTCACGAGTTTATTATCTACTTTTAAATAATTTTATATAATCCTTTTTTTTTCAATTACGAGTAATACATACGCATTTCTAACCAAGCATAATTACCAAGATATAATATTAGATTTTAGAAAATTTATTAATAATATTTAGAAAAAGAAAATTTTCATGGTAACTAGGCTCAATAATAGAACTTTTTCGTAAAATAAAACGATAGAGAATTTATTTCTAAATATTCAATTATTTAAATATATGTTAAATATTATTGTTGTGCCTCAGACTAAAGCTTGCCTCAGATCACAGCTGACACACCTCTGATTCAGATCGTCAGGTGAGGTGCGTAAGTTATTGATCTATCATCTAAACTGCAATCTGACGAAAGTAAGAGAGTAAAATAAAAGACTTTTTGACTTGAATGCTTGCTTTCTATATCCTTGAATCATTTTGTGTCGTCTTATTTCCATAGCATTTTTTTTACATTAAGCCTCTTCAGCACCTCCATTCTTTTCTTTAAATTTCTTTGCCCGAATTTTTGCGGCACATTCTATTTCCAATTAATATGTACTTTTTTTCTATACGTACCATTTTTTTTTTTGCCTAAATTTTTACTGCATACTCTTCCTGTTTAAGTTTTCTCGGCATATTCAATTTCGATAATACTTTTTATTCTATATATGTTTTTTTTTTGTGTGTAATGACCGATCGATAGGTTACGCACCTCACCTAACAATCTATATCTGAGGTACGTCAGCTGTGATTTGAGGCAAGCGTTAGTCTGAAGCACAACATTATCAAAGAGAACTTGACAAATATTAAAGCTAAATGAAAGACAAATCTTTAAGAAAATAAAAATTCTATTTAATATTCTAACTCTTAATCTTTTGTTTATCATATTATTCGATGGATGTGTTACTCTATACAGTACGTACGTACAGTACATACTTAACTATAGTAACATAAAGAATTTTTTGATATATTCTTAATAGAATCCTCTTGTCACACTTTATTAAAATTAGAAGTGACCATTGTCATATGGAATAGTAAGAATATTCTATTGAAATTCTTTAGTGGAATTCTTATTAAAAATGGAAAAAAGAAAATTACGAATTTTAATAATATTGTGTTATATGATTTTTTGTTTACGATTATATATAAAACATCCTTTATTTGAAACCAAATTTTTCATCTAAAATATAATATCGCTAAATAACAAATTCTTTAAATGTTGCGAAAATCGCAATGTAGGTCATTGTAGGTCATAAGCATAAAGATGCTCGTCAGTACAACTTTTGTGATCAAATAGGATTAAGTGGTTATGAAGTTTTGGACAAGATGGTTATTAAAAAAAAGGTTCGTAGCAATTTTATAAAATTTATTCCGTATGAACATTTTAATAATATTAATTATCTTGCTGAAGGTGGATTTGGCAAAATATATAAAACAAAATGTGATAATTTAAGATATTGGAACTGTACAGTAATAAACAAAAATTTGGGGTTCAAAGTAAATTTGATGTTGCTTTCAAAGATCTTAACAATTCGGAAAAGATGGGTTTAGATTTTATAAATGAGGTATGCATATTAATCTTAATTATAATTCATTATTTTTTAATTTTAAAATAATTGGTAATATTTTACCTAATTTTAGTTAGAAATTTATTTAAAAAATTGTAGGTATTCAATGATACATAAATATTTTGGTATCACCCAACATCCTGAAACAAAAACTTTATCCTTGTAACTGAGTTTGCAGTAAACGGTGATTTCACAAATTCGGTTTAAAAAATGCATATAAATAACTTGAAAAAAATAGATATTTTAAGATCTATATCACTTGGACTTAATATATTTCATGATAATAATATTGTTCATCAGGATTTACGTAGTGGCA